TTTTTGGTCTAAAGTTTGTTTGAAAACTTCACAAACAGGAATTTAAATTTTGGAAGTTCTTCTGAAACTGCTCCTGCAGCGAACACGATCAATATTTCCACAGCACAGGAACAAACTGAGAAACTTTGGTTGTTGGATTGGGACGTTTAAAGGAACAGTTTGAACAGTGGAGCCGGTTTGGAGAGTTCTGCGTAAACATGTATTGTCAGTGATGCATCTTGGGACACGTCCTGGTCTCTGAGCCGTGTCGACTTTGGTGTCACTAACAAAATGATCATTAAATTGTAAAATGCATCGTGCCAAAGACAGGACATGACGTGTCACTGTGTAAAGAGGTTTTTTGTGTTCATCTGATAAAGTATTTGAAAAAATGTCTGGCTCTGCATCATTCTCGTCCACACGATATCGTCTTTCAGGAGTTTCTTCAGATTTGGTCCAAACATTCAGTTTGAATCAAGGATGAACTGATTAGACTTTGGAGGTCAAAGGTCACAGTGAGCTTATATGAACAGGTGGGGGGGGGTCATGCAAACGTAAGACTGCACTGGTCGGTATAAGCTCACAAACACAGCGCAGTGATTCTCCTTATTTATACACCAGTGATGTTTCATGAGAAGTGAGGACGCAGAAGATTTGAGTGTAATTCAGTGATTTACTTCAAAGTCAGAAGAGAAATGAACAGTTTGCTTTGAACTGGATGATTCACTGCAGAGTCTGAATGAAATGGATCAAATCTACATAATGAGATGATCATAAAACCACCGGACGGGTCAAACGTACACGAGTGATCAGAGACACAGTTCAGCTACATCTTTACAACAGTGAGCATCATTAAGAAAATCCATCATTTCACATAAAAACTATTCTGATTCATCTGCTCTCTGCATGTTTCAGCCAAGAATAGAAGATTTATCATCCCATGAACACGTCCCAGGCTTCGGCTGTCCCGAACATTCGTAAACATTCTGTTGATTCATTAAAACACGAACAGATTCAACTCTCCTGAATAAAAAAGGCGTCTCTACGCTGACATGTTTAATACTTACAGACCTTTAGCACCGTTAACGTCAGCCAACGCTGAAACTGCTCGGCCTCATCAGGCTCCTCGTGTGTTCATATACTGCTGCGTCAAACTAACCCGGAGGACGTGATCACTGCGGCCCGAGCCTCAGCCGACACCCGCTGCCCCACATGGTGCGCTCAGTGAGGGAGCCGGCCAGCCTGCTGGCGGGCGTGGGCCGGGCGATGCTGGAGAAGGGCCGGGAGTTGATGCTGACGCGAGGCAGCTCTTTCTTCAGAGAGGGGAGGTGGCCGTCGTGCACCAGGCCAAAGACGTCCAGGAGGCAGAGCAGGGGGAACGTCGTCCCCAGGTCCCTGCAGGTTTGACACAGGTTAGATTTGGGTTCTGGGCTCAGTGACTCTGTGACGGCAGCGGAGGGGGGGGGGGGACTTACGTGAGAGCGGCGAGGTGAATGTGGTAGCAGCGACTCAGGGACAGATGCAGGAGATTCTTGAGCTGAGCGAGTACAGGGAAGCTGTCGGCCATCAGCAGAGTGCTGTCGCTGGAGAGAGAGACGGACTCAGACATGTTGCTTTCACTTTAATCAGAGACTCAAGATGGACGACGTGACGGCTCCAACAGTTCAACCACTTGTGATGCGTCACGAGACGTTCGAGCAGACGGGACTAAACTAAACGTTCATATAATACTTTATTTAACGTTAACACAAGAAACGGTGAGTAACAGTAAAAAAGACACAGGTCGAGTATCTGTGGATTTTTCTTTAACGAGGCCTCGAGTTGAAAATCTGCTTCGGTACTTTGAAACTGTTGAACGTGAATTAATGCAGATTTTATAGTTTTAAACAAATGGTCATGAAAGTATCGATATCACAGCTCCACGACAACGCACTCCGACGCCATCAACACAAGATGGTGGCTTCACATCCGAGACGTCGTCCATCTTAATTTGTTGTCTGAGGTTTGAGCTCTTACCTCAAATCTAAAGTTTGAATGTGAGGACATCTCCCGACCAGCACCTTCACATCTGTTGAGAAATATACGAGTGAGGTTTGATCTCAACATGAGCATCGCTGCAGTATCGTCATAACAAGCAGTTCGCACCGAAAACACAAAACCACGAGTGAAAAGGTGGATTTATATCCTGAGATCTATTGTTTCCCTGTAGGTGAACACGTTCGCTCACCGTCGAGCGAGAGACTTTCTCTGTAACCACTGATGTTGAGGTGAGTGACACTGGAGCTCAGATTACTGACGACACTCTTCACATGATCGCTGCTGAATTCACACCATGAGATGTTCAGCTGCTCGATCCTGCACAGAAGGGGAAAAACCAAAAACATCAATAGAGCACAGAGGTGACGTGTTATTAGCGTGTCCACAGACGGAGGCCGAGTCACTGACCTGCAGCAGGACGTGAACATGTCGGCCAGAGCGGCAGCAGAGAAGCCGGAGCAGCCGCTCAGGTTGAGCTGCAGCAGGTTCACGTTCATCGCCAGAGCGCTGAGAGACAAAAAGGTCAGAGATCATCCACGACTTGAATTCACTCTTCACAGACAGTCACAGGTCTCAGAGGAGCCGCTACACTGATATTCACTGAGGAGATGCAAACAGTTCCCAGGGAGTAACAAGGTCTGAAACTGTAAATTAAAGGGAAACACACATGTAGAGAAACTGAATAAAGAAAACTCTTCTGTTGAACAGTTTTTCATATCAGCAACATGAACACAGAACCTAAACGTCTGTTTTCAATCAAGTCGGCTCCGACGAGGAGTCCTGGTGAGCTGAGGCCTGAGACGAGGAGTTAGTGGGAGTCTTACTTGATGATGGCGTCGGAGAGCTGCAGACCCTCCAGACTCAGATACTCCAACGTGCTGCACTGACAGACGACGCTCTCCAGAGCTGAGGTGGGGATGATGGAACTGGACAGGTCCAGCTGAACCAGCTGCAGCGGGCTGACCGAGGGAGGAGACGGGGAAAAGTGGCATCAACACCAGGTTCTCCCACGTTTAAGTTTTAAAACACTTCATTCGCAGCACGAGCCGGAGGCACGGCGACGAAGTCAGAGCAGCAGGAAACGACCTCGGAGGAAAACGGACGAAGCTGCAGCTTCATGGAACTTTTAACAGCATCGTAAAATATAAACAACAAACTCAACAATACATCAAAACACCCGGAAATCCTTCACTCTGGAGAAACTTCAGTCAAGAACAGAACCGACAGGACGTCTCTGCTCGACGCACCTGGAGGTGGAGAAGAGGAGGTTCTCCACGAAGGAGCGAGGGCAGCGCAGCCTGCGGACGCCCGTGTTCAAAACCTGCTGCAGAGCCGCTCCCATGTGAGTCAACCCCTCCAGGTCCACGCTGTGCCACAGGGACTCATCCAACCTGCGTCAGAGACACACAACAGACACACAACAGAGTCACAACAGAGACACACAACAGAGTCACAACAGAGACACACAACAGACACACAACAGAG